AGTAACTTAGGACTAAGTACTCCAAGCTTTATGAACCAATGTACTGGTACTTTAAGTGTTTAATTTAACAGTATATTGGTGTGTAATCATTTTACAGCAGACTGATGATTTGAAGATAATGCCATGCTGCTCTTATCATGGGCATATTCCAGTACTGGATTCAATACTCCTGCTGCTATAAGTAAACTTAAAATATGTGGATAGATAGAAGAGTGCACACACATAAAAAACAAGCACCCTTCCCCAGAAATATGAAGAATGTTTATAAAATTTTATCAAGATTTTTAAAAGATATGAATATGTGGTGGGATAGAAAGTAAAAGTAAGAGAAGAGACAAGAAACAATGACAGCAGAAACAGAACCTAATTTGTAGGGAACAGGACAAGAAAAAAATTAAAGAGGTGGTTGTGTAATGTATGACAACACAAATGTAAAGTCTTGTGACACCTTTAAAACTAACAGGTTTATTTCAATGTGATATTTAATGGACTGCAATTCACTCAAGCACCTAAACAGATACTTATATCATAGGTTTATATACACAGAATACATGGTTATGGGGAGGACTCCGAGTGAAATGGATTAATACTGGTAGCAAACTTTCGAAATCTTGATTACATAAACATGCTGACAACAGGCAAAGTAATTAGCTAAAATTAAATGTATTTAGGTAACACTGAAGGCTTTTGGCTTTGAAATGTAGAAGCAGTGAGCCCTTCTTTCTAGAAATAGATTACTGTGCTGAAACTGAAGTTTAGTGAAAGAGTAACTTTCTGGCTATATATGAGACCACAGTGAAAACAAGGTTTTAATTAATAATGTTAAAAAGCTCTGATCTCTGTTTAAGCCTGAAAAAAATTACCAGAAATCAAGAAAGCAATGGAGACAGACAGATTATACCTCACTGGAGTGAGGCATGGGGGTAATTTTAACTCAAACCATGTGACTGCATTGCCTCTTTAATGGTTATCAGAATTCCCAACTGAAGTGAAAGTAAAACCCCTGCACAAGATAAAGAGTCAGAGAAGCATCACTAGTTGGAAAATGACTCCCTTTGCCACCTCCTTTCACTTCTCTGCATAGCAACATTTGATGCATTGTGAACACATTAATAAACAGCAGCATTTATTCTGCAGTTTCAGTCTTCAGAGACAATTCTGTAATTTGCTGCTGTCAATAATATATTAATCACAAGGGGGTTGTAATGACATTTCACATTTGGCACAATATTTTCTTAAAACTGGTTTGGGAGATGGGATTCCTTAGAAGCAAAGTCAGATGATGGCAACAGACTGCTTATATAAAATATATCACGTTTTGCATTACATGAGCCCCAACACAGAAAGGCAATATTTTATTTATTTAAAATATTTATACACTGCCTTCCTCCTAAAGGATTCAAGGAGGCTTACAATGTGAAAAGAAATGAAGTTAAAAGTTAAAATAATGCATTATTACAATGCTTTAAAAGAATTAAACAAATATAATACTAAAATGATAATTAACAGCAATATGAAAAATACAAAATAACAGAATTAAATAATCCTTTTAAAAAATCTCTTTGGTCAGCCAGTCATTTAAAGGAAAGAGAAAAGTCTTTGTTTTGCAGAAGGACAGCAAAAATGGGGCCAGCCTGGCCTCCTGTGGGAGTTCCAGAGTCTAGGAACAGCAAGAGAGAAGGCCCTTTCCCATGTCCCCACCAAAGACACCTGTGAAGATGGTGGGACCGAGAGAAAGGTCTTTCCTAATGATTGTAATGCCCAAGCAGACTCATAGAGGGAGATGCAATCTTTTAGACAGCTTGGAAACAAGCCCTTTACAGCTTTATAGGTAAAAACGAGCACTTTGAATTGTGTCCAGAAACTGACTACATTCCTCAATGTTTCAGGGGCAGAAGGAGATTTGACTTCAAGATCCAGAGAACTCACTCACCCTAGTTGTCAGACAAGAACATATCACCCCGTCATCATTAGAGATAGTAAAGATTTCTAAACACAATTCTGAAGCATGTGGACCACATGAGGCAAGAAAACACTTCTCCAGTTTCAAGGACAGGAAGGGTTATATCCAATGGAAGTCAATACCTTGCTAGAATTGATGTGGGTTACATAAGACTAGAGATATGACTTACACTTAAAACTACAGCCAAAATCTTCTTGCTTGTGTCCACGTGGATGATGCACAACTGGCACAAATCTCAGTGACAAATTGCCACAAATTAAGAAGTTAGTGCAAACATTTAATGTTATGAACAAAGTTACACAACAACATTCTAATAATGCAAGAAATGCTGCAAATTCTGCGTATTTGCAAAGTGAACAAAATATGTAGGTGACTCTTCAGTCTGAATAATACTAATAAAGATATGAAAGTGGATACCTGTTTAATTCTTGTGTTTAAATTCTTACTTAACTAGCAACTTCCTAAAAGTTACTGGAGTGCACTGCTGCTGCAACAAAACACTTCAAAATGACAAACTATTTTAATGTAAAAAACCAAAATGATCTTTCATATCTTTATCAGTATTATTCAGACTGAAGAGTCTGAATAATTCCACTTCCTACAGTATATGTGTCTTTTTGTTTTGTTTTGTTTTGTTTTGTTTTGTTTTGTTTTGTTTTGAGGTCTTCACTGAGCTTTTTGTGAAGCCACACTGGCTTTCTATGGGAGTACCAAGTTCAACATTTTAACGCAAACTCTTGTTGATGCATTTTTTAAAAAGTTCCACAGTTCAAATTACATCAACATTTCAATGAAATACATAGTTGCTTCTGAAATGGCTGAAGCTCTCTTGTGATAAGATATTCTTGGCACATCAAGATACTGAATTACATTTGGTTAATACAGTCTAAGGGCACAAGTTCTTCATAGTGCTCAAACTTGCTAGTGTAATTTTTAAGTGTTCACTGTTTTCCCAGCTTTTTAATCACAATTTTAAAACTAAAATACACAGAGATACAAGACAGATGGATTGCTCACAATGAAATTATATGAGGATATTACAAAGACATTTGGTGATTCACTATAGGAAGAGCAAAAGTTATGATGATACCTACGTTGATAGGAACTTTTTAATCAATTTATAGCTTGTAACAGGTATGTTTCTCCATGTGCACATACATAAACCCCAACTATTTAAAAGAAAAATGAATAAGAACTAGCAAATGTAAGAATCCCACCGCCATATCATCATAACTCTGTTCACTAACAGCCTGTCGAAGTTAAAAACACTTGCATTTCTGGAACTTGCTCATAAATAGGCGTTGGCATGTTTCCACAGAAATGAAATTCCAGTATTGAGCAGCAGGCATCCAGAATGCCTTTTTGCATGCCTCTGAGGATAGATTCAGACATGCAGAATATGAACATGCTACCATTCTAACAGAGGTTGGCCCATAGAATATTTCAATCCTTCTCCACAGAAGAGACCTTCTTGCACTAAAACACTTACTTGTTAAATGTAAATATTCAAACCTATGACATGGTAAGTCCCCATTGCCAGGAATGTTTTGTATGTTGGAGAAATTCTAAATATATAATCTGCACATTGCGACCCTATAGTCTGCATAAGAGCCCCAACATAAAAGCTCTGCTGGATTAGACTGAATTGTTACGTAGGTCCAGGATCCCATCTCCCTAAGCAGCTAACTAGAGGTCTCTAGGAAGCCCATGCTCATACTTAAATTTGCAACTCCTATTGTTGCCAGGGCCTCAGAGATAAGCCTGTATCACTGCTTGTCAAACATTTTGATGGGGCCCACTGTAAACTAACTACAGCTTTCAATCTCCATCTTCCCCTTCCATAATAGAATATGTAAGATTGTCATATCAAGATGAGAAAGTTTATTATTTATTTGTTACATGTATATCCCACCTCTCCTCCTATTAGCTCAAGGCAGCATATATGACTATCATCCTTCTCACGTGAACTTCACAACAGTCCTGTGAGGAAATTCAGGCTGAGATGTGAGGTAGGTCAGGCTGAGATCATGACTTGCCCAAAACATTACTTTGGGCAAGTCATGACTCTGCACACTGCCTTGAGCTCATGTGAGAAAAGCTTGCAAATACATCCACCTTTATTTTATTTTTCAATTTTAATATGTAAACATATTTATGTGTAGATAAAATATATCTCTGAACAGAATACACATCTTTTGATGTGGAAAGGGCAGGGTATTAGTACTCTTTTGGCCTAATGGAAGAAAAAAAAATATAACCTACCCAGGAATAAATCATCATAAGAGAAGTCCTGTATTAAGTAGTCCCAAACTGCTCAATAATTCACAGGCTTCACTGCCATCCCTGCTTGTGTTACATGTCTCGTGCCATCTTAAACATCCTCAATAAATCATTATTTTAAACATCCACCTCCTATGAACTCAAAGCTATATTCAAGGAAACAGGACCCAGAAACTTAGGATGGATGCCAATTTGCTATTCCTATAAATACTGCCACATATATGTTTACAATAAAATGATAATATTTTAAGCCTCGCAAATCAGAACATATTTAGAATTTGATTAAGTTCGTAAACAGCATGACAGTGCTAACTTGCATGTTTTATTGATTGATTTTAAGCACTTGGGAGAAAAAGGCTTTTATTAATTTGTTAATCTATACCCTGCTTCTTTGAATACAGTGTGCTCCAATTCAACCAATGCAAGCAGCTTGTGCCAATAAGTTAGCCAAGAACACGACAAGCAGGAAGAAAGGTAGAAGACAAACCAGGCAACACATGTTTCAGATCCACACATGGGATAGTGTCCAAAGAACATGGGGGGAAACAATTATCCTTTCAGGTTTTTCATTCTGGCATTTCTTCACTGCAACTGCCTATGATCTTGCCCTCATAGTACCTGCAACTGCATTTTGTTCCTTTTTTTTCTTTTTAAGAAGTCATTTTCCTTTTCAAAATTAACTATTATACATAGTATTAGGTTAGTTTAGGTGTTCATCAAGGTGAACCCCTCTGTCAGTGACAGAAGCAACACTGACCTGCGAGAGAGGGCATTCTTTGGCTAAAGTGCTCTGATTCATCTCTTTGAGCAACTCCTTTAAGGCATTGCGGACTGTGGCATGGTTCCATTGCTCTGCTGGCAAGTCTTCCAGTTTTGAACAACTGTGAAAACAGAGAACAGAAGAATAAACACATGGAAAGCATCACCTGCAAGGATAGCTGTTCTTCGCACACAACAGCAATAAAACTCTGTGAAGCTGGACACAAGTTAAGAGTCCCACACTTCTTCCTACCCATTTATTCCTACTACAATTCTGACTTCCAATGAATTTAAGAATTGAATTCCGGACTACAGCCCAAAATGGAACTGCCCATGCTGCTGACTGAAACTACCTCTCCACCAATGTTCCCAAGCAAAAGGAAACAGGGATTCAATGCTTAAGAGTCTAAATTTTAAAACTGAATTTCTGGTAAAGTACCAGAAACAGTGAAGGTGTTTATTTTTAAAATATAGTATGTTAAGCATTTAATCAGGCCTCGAGGAACTATTAAATTGGGGGCTGTGGAAAACTTCTCTTTTAAAGGTCTTGCAACAACTGGCTAGGCTTGTCTGTACTCCAATATCATGCTGAAACAAAATATAGGCCATAAAGAGCTGCCAGGTGAGGCACTCTTCCTGTATTTTGCTTTCCATTTCAACAAAAGCTCAAAAATTAATGAAAACAAGATGTGCTAATCTCAGTAGTAATGCTGTGAGTGACAGAGCAGCTCAAAATGTAGAGGAGGGCAGATGTTCAGAAATACCCACCTTTGTAACTGAATTTTCAGTGTCACAACATGATAGACATCTTGTAACATATCGGCTACTGTAGCATCAGGTGCATCTGTCACATAACTGAGTGGAAGAGGATTCCACTTTCCAAGTTTGATTATACCTGGAAAAAATTAATGGAATAAACAGAAACATGAACACATACCTGTTTGCTGAGTCATTTGATTAGTTGCTTACTTCGGTATTGAAATTTTCTTCTGATAACTGATTATAGAAATATAAGACATGACCCCACCTATCTCTCTTGACCAGTTAATTATGAAACTTGCTTAACTACTTACAGTTAAGCAAGCCTTAGTCGAGTAATTAAGCTAATTTTACAACCTATGGAAAACTATGTATTTGGTTTTGATGTAAAGAAAACAAAGAAATAAAGCAAAGTAACATTCTATCAAGCAGAGGCCCAGTTCACTCATCATGGTCTACACAGCCTGGCGGTGGCTATCCTATTTCAAATAAAAGCCTTTACAAAATCTTCTTGAAGATGCCAGGGATTAAATCTAGGACATTCTGTGTACAAAATACGTGCTCTACCACTGGGCTATAATACTTTATATAAAACCCCTTATCTGTGGATCCAGAAAACTCTGTCCCACTGTCACCAGATGAAGATTTAACCAGACCCTGAAACTAATTACAAATAAATATTTGTTTATCATTATAATCTCTTATAAGATATAATTAAGTTGCATTACCATTCTAACTTAGCAAGAGATAACATCACACCTTTTGTGGCATAAATAAGTTTTAGTTACCTTTGCAGTTTTACAAGACCTGGAATGCACTGATTTGCTTTATTTTCCTTCTATATGCAACACAGATTGCTGCTGAAACAGAAAAATGTCCTTCTAAATTAGTGAATCTGTGTTAATTCTATCCCCTAAATTTTATTGGTCTGGTGCCGACCAACCATTGCTTCTTAGCACCCATTCAATCCTGGTAAGCAGAAGTGAGAGTTGACAGTAGATGCCAGAGAAGCTGGTCTATACCTTTTGACTCTCTGACCTCTAATTTCTCCTACATCATATTAGTTCTTAGAGTAATATTCTTAGCATTTCCCTTTCAGTCTTATCTTGTGTCCTTCTTCCATTCCTGTTTCTCTAAAGAGCAGACATGGTGTCTCTCCTCTCCTATGTGCTTCCTTGGACCATATGTCTATGTAGTTAGGATCAGAATTTAGGCCCCCCCCCCCCCGGAATGCAACTTAATGAAATTTAGCTGATTTTAACTGTTCCCCCATGTTATTGTGGGTCCACTACAGATCTGACTTTCCACACATCTCTATAGCACCTACTCTATTACAGTGTCAAAGAGAAACTTTAATATTTTCCTTTTCTCACACATTAAGATCATCCATAGCTAATTTTGCAATTATGATCTCAGCCATTTGATTCACTTCTTTACCTATGAATGTGCAACTAGAACTGGAGAATTTTTTGTGATGCTCTGTAGATAATCATGATCATTGCGGCTTCATCGTGAATAGAAGTGGGATTTACTGTAGATGCTCTCAGAATTTGCTGCCCATGCTTACTCTAGGTCTTAGTTACTTTTAAATAGACAGACTGAATAGTACCATGCTGTTTTACTCTCTTTCTTTTGAGAACAGTAAACATGTAAAGAGGTTATTTTGAGAATAAAGATGGGTCTTTCTGTCCAAAAACTTACTTTGGACTGACAGGCACAGCAATGGAAAACATCCCTCCTGGGGTTCTTGCTTTGCTTTAGTATGTTTGTTTGTTTTTGTTTTCGGTTTTTCCAGTCCTATGCTTTTCGCTCAATAAGATCTTTGACTAGTTAATTGTTTTCTGGCATATCAGGACTGTATTTTAAAATCAGCATTTGATGTGTAATTTTTGAAGTTTTAAACATATTTTTGTACACTATTCTTAGGTATTATAGCAGGTTATTAAGGTTGGGTCTAGGTATATGATCATGCCACTCTCTTGCAAGTAGATCGTGCAAGTAGGTATATAAATCAGTGGGTTTTCAATACAGTGTGGTGCTAAGATATCCCTGCTACATCTTCACTGTGGTGCCTGTTTTACTTTTTAAAGTAATCAAAAAGCCAGTTTTTGTGTAGCATATGAAAAATAATTGACATAACTTTTAAAAAAATCTTACTAACTACTCTGGAGGCCTTGAAACTATAACTATGACTAATTATTTTTTCAATAACTTGCTCCATATTTAGCAGGATCAGTGAAATATACAACTATATCCACAGGTGATACCAGATTTAAGAACCCATACTAAAGAGTACATCTTCAACACCATGATTGTAGCTTTAGTCGAATAGAATGGTATCAATTTGACATTTGTGCTTTTGGATAGTATATCATAGAGCTCCTAGAGATTAACAATTAGTATAGGTGTCAATGCCTGAGAGAACAATACAACCTATGGCAAGTCTTATGGATCAAAAATTGTCTGAACTACTCACAACTATGGCACAAAGAATTATCTATAAAGTCCAAGATATGAGGGATTAATGATGCAGAAAATGGTAGAGAAAGGAAAAATAGGAACAATGTTTATCTATACCTTTCTAGATCTATGCCACTGAATAGACCTATGCCTCAAAACAGTGGTGCCATGATGGTTGTGGAGGACTGGGAGTTGTAACAAAAGTAACTTTTCAGAGGTATAGACAGGCTGGAGTTATGAGAGATCCATGAGCAAAGTCATGTTTTCAGCTGTGGCTCCATGCCACAATTCCAATCATGGAGAAACAATTTCATCTCTTTCCTGCTTGGAAAGAAATGAGAAAGCAAGTATGCAGGAGACCATAAAGAGGAGACCTGTTCTGAGTGATTTGATGATAAGAATACAGAAGGAGGTAGAGGGATGAAAGGTATGGATTCTGTTCTTGGGGAGTTAAGAGGAAGCCAAATAATCTGTCTACCTAACATAAATCCTTATGTGTAAGCATGGAAACAATCACAGTCCAAATACTGTAATGGTTCTTGCTGTTCATTGTTTATTGTTTGTTTCTGGTGGTTCAGTTTTAGCTTATCGCAGACTGTATAGAAATGAAATTAGACATGCAGGCAGGCAGGCAGGCAGGCAGGTAGGTAGGTAGACAGACAGACAGACGGATGGACGGGCAGGCAGGCAGTCTGGCAGGCAGGTGGACCGGCAGGCAGATATTCCCCAAACAATTCTGCTTCCTTCTTCTGTTAATCAGAGATTGACAAGAAGTGGAAGCAAAGGTTTTTCCATACAGCGTGGATCAATAAATCCTACCCCACTAACAGGAAAAGTTAAAAGCATCCCAATTATGATCAGAAACATTGAAATGCTGAGAGAAGATCTGCAAAATGATATTTTTATTCTTTTTATTCACTATGTATAAAACTGGAACAGAGGTTTGCAGTTCAGGTTACATATCCCATTGCTATTGAATGAAAAATATAATTACCCCTTCTTTCCTCCCTAATACATAAAATATATCACATATATACTCAATATATTCCTGTCCTTAAATCTAAATGCTATAAGGGGTCAGTGTAACAAAGCCTCTTTCATGGATGTGCCAGTTTGAAACACAGATACCTCCAGCTAGTCTAGAGCAGTGGTTTTCAAACTGCAGTCCCCAAATGTTCTTGGACTGCTATTCCTAGAAGCCTTCACCACTTACTGTGCTGGCTACGAACATCTGGGGACCCAAGATTGAAAACCACGGGTCTGGAGAAGAAACCAGATAACAGAAGACAAGGGACACGAAACCCCAAACTAAGTGGTTAACGTATTTATGACAAGATAACAACTAGCATTATAAAGTTTACTGTGACCCATGTTCTGTGAACAGGCTTGTTTTCATATCTCTGCAGTATACATTGTATTAACATGGCACCACCAGTGACTTTAACACATATATGTGCCTCTGTAAATCACATGCTATTGTAATCTAGCCAAGGTGGCACCAGGACAGTGTTGCTGGTCTAACTGTCCCAAGTAAAGGGATTTCTTGCTCTTATTTCTCACATTTGTTATGTGCCCTATAAAGTAAACCTCTCTTTTCTATAGTTGAGCTGACATGATTTGAGTCATACTCCTGTCACGTCCTTACTGCAGAAATTTCTATCTTTCAATAAACCCTATATAATATAAAATCCAAATTATTGTGTTGGGTTGTGGTCACTTCTCTCTCCAAGTACCTAAAAGAGCTGGTTTCTGTCAAAGTAAAATGCACCAATATTATTCCAACAAACCTGGCTAGCCCAATCAGGAGACTTTGGTGGGTAGGACCATCTGCCCCATTATCCTATGATAACAGGGCTCCAGCACATTCATAGACTAATTTTTGGTCAAGACTGTGCCCATTTGCTGGTGGGGGGACATGTGTCCTCTCCAAAATGATCCAAATCAAAGAGAGAAGCAATCCACATTAGATTCAGCTTTAATTGGCAATTTAGAGTTCAAAAAGGGAGAGTTCATACCATCACTGGCCAGGTAAAAAAGGTTTCCTTTTTCACCTTTGATATTTCCTTTTTTATGTAAATTTGAAACCCACAGGTTTTTTTCTCTTTTTCTCTGTCTCCCTGGAAAGAACCCTCTTGGAGGCTGATCAGCCTTTTTAGATTTTTCTTTTTCTTTTGAGGGATTTTTTTTCAGCCTTCCACCTAACTAGCAACTTGGTGAGAAGGTTTTGATCAGCATTCCTGGGATCCTTTCTCTCTCTCCAGGAACCTAAAATGAGCTGGTTCCTTCCAGAATAAAATGCAGCTATATTTTTACAATGCTAGAGAAAAACAACAGTTATTGTTATTATTTTTTAATGAAATGCTAGAGTGAAATGACTGCTGCTTGACATACTATGTATAAAACTGGAACAGAGGTTTGCAGTTCAGGTTACATATCCCATTGCTATTGAATGAAAAATATAATTACCCCTTCTTTCCTCCCTAATACATAAAAAATATCACATATACACTCAATATATTCCTGTCCTTAAATCTAAATGCTATAAGGGGTCAGTGTAACAAAGCCTCTTTCATGGATGTGCCAGTTTGAAACACAGACACCTCCAGCTAGTCTAGAGCAGTGATTTTCAAACTGCAGTCCCCAAATGTTCTTGGACTGCTATTCCTAGAAGCCTTC